GTTGAAAGTTCAAGATTAGATATACAAAAAAGGGCATTTTCAAGAAATGGTGTTATAGCTTGTCTTGTGAAGTGCGCCAGCTATCAAATACAATTTTAAGAGTAAAATTCATGATTTCCTCCTCCAGAGACTCGAAAAATATGACGATTATATTAATTTGTCTACTTTAATAGTACAACTATAAGACCCCAGCTTGTTCTGTTCTCTTGTCATATCTTAAATATATTAATGTAGTCGTAATTTGTCTAGAATTTTGAATCTCTTGCTCTGTAAATCTTTCTATTTTATAATATACGTATTAAACACTGCCCGCCTCGACTAGTCTTTGATAACTGCGGGCAGTGCATATTGTTTGTAATATTGTAACAATAATAATAATAATAATAATAATAATAATAATAAAACTTAATGATAACTTAATAATAATAATAACTGAATTTCTCCTGATATCAAGTTCGTGACGCACACTCGAATGCGTCTCCAAGCAATTATAATGTACTTTTCTCAAATTCGAACCCTACCCTCATCGCTGTTTATGTTTGGTGAGGCCATTATCAGCAGGTTTCCAATATAGTAGATGATGTAATCTTTAACCAACGCAAAGAGTTCTTCAGTAAGAGAGTCACCAGTCTATAAAAAAAAAATCACAATAAGTCGTAACTGCTCCCCAGGCTATTATTTTATTATCATTATTATTATTATTATTATTATTATTATTATTATTATTATTATTATTATTATTCCTGAATCAGAGCAAAAACTTCGTTCGCATTATTAACATCTGCCCTAGTCTGCCTAAGAGCATCCAGAACAATTAGAGAGCCCAAGTTGGATTTTAGTAATGTAGACCAAGATATTCAAAGCTCAGAGGCTGTCATTTGTTAGTTAGTTTCTTTTTTTTTTTAGATAATTTGTTAGTCGACATTTTCATGTATTTTTCGATTTTTAAGGACTTTATCTTAATTTGTTTGTAAATATTTTTGATGATTAGAGTGAATTATCGTTATCCTAGTATGTATCATCTAGTTTTTCTTAAACTTTTTTTAGACATTTTAACACATTTTTTTTTTCGATCATCAAGCATTTTATCATATTTTTTGTAATAATTTTTGTGATTATGGTGAATAAAAATGATTATTTAATTTAAAAATTATTATTGTTATTATTGTTATTGAATCTGTTCAGATTTGACACCGTTATTTATAGTTTTCCAGACGCTTTGACAAAAAAAAAGGAGTAGATGTGAGCCGAAAGTGAGTTATTTTGGATCATTTTTTTACGCCGTTAATATTTTGTATTGTAGAGGATTTTATGGAAATTATTGCTAAATAAAATTCATCACATTATTGTTATTATAATTATTATTATTATAGTTATTTACCATAAACGCTTAGCTGAACTCATATCCATTAAGAAATGTGAAACATACTCTACCACTGTCCTGGATTAGAGCCAAAATCTCTTTTGCGCTCTTACGATACGCCCTCTTATGCTTAAGAGGTAAAAGAAAGAAGAGAAAAACATTTGAGACTTTCGATGGAGATTTTTTAATTGACAATGCTATGGCAAATATAGGCTAGACACTCTTTAAATTTGTTTTTAATATTTTTTAGAGTAAGAGTGTCATTTCCCTTCTCATATACCTTTTTTTGATGTAATTTACTTTTATAAGGATAATTTTGATACACGTTTTTTGAAAGTCTTTCAATACGAACAAGTAGTTCCCTTCGCGATTTTTATATGTAAGGGGTGGCGAATGGTAAATGCGAGACTTTGCGAGACGGCGAGACAAGCGATTTTATTTGCGAGCCCGAGACATCATTTTGACTTTTTAGATTGCGAGACCGAGACTTCAAAGGGCTTTGAGTGCGAGCGCGAGACGTTCAGACTCTTAAATTGCGAGCCCCAGATTTGGTTGAGAGCAAATGAGAATGAGCTAGAATGAGCTTGTACAAAAGTCTCACAAAGGATCCTTTTGTTGAAATCTCTTGTACGAAACAACAGATCCGAAAATCTGTCAACAGTCAATAAATTCTATTTTTTTCCTGGCCATGACCTAATTTCCGGTCAGGAGGTTGCGCTTGGTCGTTTCTCTTTGATTTTTTTGAGTGACGCGCTGTCACTTACAACTCAAGTTGTCTAGAAGTCGCAAGAAAGAACGCGCGGCCGTGTTTCAACTCAGTTGATGTGGAAGCGTTCAAAACAATGGAGGAAACCGAAATGGGCATAAGGTCTTCTTCTTCTTCTTCTCATCGGAAGCGAAAGCGCGAATCACGGAAGTACTCTATAAATGTTGGTATTTATGAATGTGCCGACAATTCGCTGTTAGTCTACCTGTAAAACTTCAATCCCGGCCTTGCAAAAACAACCACGCCACGCTTGGCCAGTCAAGCCCCGTGGTCCTATTACTGTAAGCTACTATAGCTAGCTATGAAAGATCTAGGCCACAAGTCGCACTGATGGTGGTTTTACCTGGGATTGTTTGCCCAAGATGGCAAAAAGTTGGCAAAATAGGTCGAAATATTAAAACTACCATACACTCGATCGCTTTCCGGCGATCGCGTCGAAAGCGGGGAAATCAGAACCACCAGTTACGTATACAGGAAATGAAAGTTAATATCCAAAAGATTAATTTTTCTGGAAAACAAAGTTAATTCAAACTAAGTCTTTGATTAAGGGTCTAGTAAGCATAGTATTTTCTTATTTGTTTGCTTATTTCAATTTAATTTCATGTTTTTATCAGAAGATAGAGGGAAAATTAGAACCGAAGGGAAGATAAAGAAATCAAAGAATAAAGAGAAGTTCAAAATGACGTTGCGGTAAGTTTTCTAGCTTTTTGTTGAATTCAGAGAATTTAGGAGAAGTTAGGATTGACTTTTTCTCCGAATTGAAAGTTGCTTTAATAAAATTCAATATCAAGTGATGAGAAGACGTCATTCTAAGAAAACGAACAAGCGAATCTGGACATCGAGACCCTTAGCCTTGCAAAAAATCGAGACTCCGAGACACCTTCGTATAAAGAAAGAGACTGCGAGACGCACATAACCGCTGAAAAAACGAGACTGCGAGACCTACGAAAGTTCGACTAAAATTTTGCGAGATCCAGAATTTTTGAAGGACCATTCGCCACCCCTTATGTAGGTCGTTTTTTAATATCAAATTCAGTTTGGGTCTGATGCGAGTCTGATCCTAGAAAACCGAATTTAACAGATGTGTTCCGTGTCAATTAATTTGGAAATGTACGAGAGGAAAAACCATTACCCACGCGAAGTTATTGTAATGTTTTAAGTTTTAAAATAAAGTTATCATTTCTGTTATTATTATAATATAATAATAATAATACTTTATTTACCCATGTATCACCTAAGAGCTAATAGCTCGTTTAAAACATGAACGTGAAACTAATTACAAATAATGAGCTAATAAGAACTAATATCAAAAGATAAAAATATTGAAAAGCTATATATTATCTAATTTGTATGTACTATCTAATTATTAAGCGAAAGTTGTTAAAAATCGAGTTAAAGCCTTATTATTATTATCATTATTATTTTTGTCATCATAAAAATAAATAGTCCTTTATTCACCATGATCACAAAAAATTATAACAAAAATTTTGATAAAATGCTTGAAAATCGAAAAAAATGTGTTAAAATGTCTAATACAAATGTAAGAAAAACTAGAGGATACACACTATGGCAACGATAATTCACTCTAATCATAAAAAATATTTAGAAACAAATTAAGATAAACAATTATTGTCATCATTGTTGTAAGGGAAAACAACGTAGAACCGTCATGGATAATGGTTTTAATGACCTGATTTCTAAATACACAGTGACACACAAAAATGAATAAATAAACTATATATACAGCAAACACAAAGGACATACACGAAACTATTGAAGAACGCATTAGTGTTCAACGTTCTCCTCGTGTAACAATTTCTATCTCTAAACTGATTATAATAAAACATCTCAGTTGTCTAAAATGTATTTCAGACTGTTCTTGCCCCGTGACGACAGCTTAACAAGCCGGACACCACAATTACCAGTCTTCTTAAAAAGGAGACGAAGATAGAAGAAAAGCTAATTGATCGTTCTAGAAAGGTCACAGCCGTGATATGCGATATTTCGATGATAGGGATCCCAAAACCGCATTTTGCGGCGACCAAAGCGTAAAATTGAATAAAGGCGTTAAATTTCTAAAGAAACTATAGCGCTGCGTCGATGGGGGAGTATAATAAAGCAATTATGGTTTTATCAACTGAGTTCATGAAGTAAATTGGCCACCGTAAAGAGTTTCAAAGTTGACGTTTCGAGCGTTAGTCCTTAGTCAGAGCGGGAGCAACCACATTAAAATCAGAGGGACAGATTTCAAACAACACATTAGCATACGTGCTATTTAGTCTAACGCAATGATAAATTGGTCGGCCCATCGGCTTTGACTGGTAGCAGCTTTGATCAACGTTGCTGTAGTCGACACCACTTGCAAGTATTGTAATATAGTTATATTCGACTGAGAATTCTGACCAACAATAGTGTGTACATGACGCATAATCCATCGTGCAATCTTTCTTTCATATAATCCGTGAAGTGAATCAAAACGTAACAAAACTTAATTCTGCTTTTTCAATTTTTTTAATCACAGTATTTATAACTTCTTGACCAGTTTAAAGCAAAATAATTGGTTGATCAATGTTATTTTTTATTACAACTGAGCAGTTGATAGATCGACCGGACAAGAATAGCCGCTTGGGAAAGTGTAAACCGCGTTATTTGACCTGAATGACTAAAAGCATGCAGTTGCTACTTACCTTTCGTGCTTAGATCACATACATCCGTTTCACGCTTTCCATATTCGTTTATAAACATTAAAACGAGCACAAGGCAAAATACCTCGATCAGACAGAAAATAGAATCCAACTGAGGGCTTCAATTGACATCTAAATGCAGATGATAATGACAAACGAACAACGCGCTCTAAGAGCAATGCGGAAGTGTTATTCTACACCAAGTCAGAAACCCAAAACAAACAAATATGGTTATCTTGCAATTGACGCGTTAATATGAATAAACCCGTTTTTATACGACATTATCGTCGCAGTTACCTATAGTACTCAAATAGCACCACTGAACAGCGCTGATGATGCTGTATATCGTCAGGTAGACGGTGCACGAGTGATTTGTGTGAGGGTGTCTGTTATCTACTATCGCGTGTCTGCCATCTAAAGGGCGTTTTAATGGCATTCTCACCGAACGCAATGAAAGGTACGCAAATCATTCACTTCTGAGAATAAAAAAAATAAAAAACGCTACTGTTGAACGGTGCCTCATAAACTTTTCTCCATGAAAACAAACTTCAACTTTCCTGCACAGTTATATGCTTTTCCTTTCGAAATGGCGGCGTTAATCACTCTAACGGTCTTCTAATCATTAATATTAACATGCGTGGTCGATCACTGAGATCTTGAAAGGAATTTATATTCTTGTTGGTCTAATATAATGCATTATGATATCATTCTGTTATATTCGTTGAATGCATATTTATTTTGAAAGAACCTGAATCCGGCAAACATCTCTATTAAGTGGACATGGACGCTAAAATTTTGTCCTCTCATGATCCTAACTTGTCTTAAGCCGACACTTTAATTTGTTTTAATCAGGATATTTCATTTAAGGCAAACTTTTCAGGTTTGAAATCGTGTTTGGCTCAATCAATGAGCAGTCTGTTTTCGTCCGTTTCATAATCCTTCGAGGAAGAAGAGTTTTTAAAACTACCTGTATCGCTACTAAACCTAGACAGCAATAAGTAGTACAAGTAAACGAACTTGCATCCACATTGAAGTGGGTTGCCTCATTCGGAAGATTAACAAAGAATTATTCAGGCCGGAGTACCATGTAACATAGATATAATATGAACAGTGAAGTAGAACGAAATGAACAAACAACCAAGCTGAGTAAAATACAAAAGCAACTGCCTTCCAAAAGGTCGAAAATTCACGAATTTCACACTTACCTAAGGTGAAAATATCCCAGACGCAAGTTCACAAGTCCCTCAATCTACATCAACCAGAGACCGGAAAAGGGTCGGATTTGCTCTGGGCTAGAAATTGTATTTCCATTTTACAGTTCAGTCTTCATAAATAGGGAAAAAGATAGGTCAGTGAAATCGAAACTTTAGAAGCCAGTAATGGACACCCAAGCCAAGCTGATAGGTGACCCAAACATTCTTGAGAGCAAGAAAACATCAAGCAAATCAAACAACTGTCACGCATGGAATTTTGCGTAACGCATTGACTACGTATAATGAAGACAGTTTCCTCTGGATTCTCTGAATCTCGAAAATGTCATAAAAGTTAATTCAATCGACGCCTAGTGGAGCTTCTGCGCAAATAACAAGGGTAACTTGATCTTAAATATTAGGAGAACTTCGTAAAAGAAACAGCTGTTTTGTATTCTAACGGGTACGAATAAGTCCCCATAGCCCTTGCCGATAGGCGACAAAATTTGCAACCATGAATCTTCAACGTCAAATCTGAACCACACGATCGATTCAAGGGAAGAAACACTCGCCGACTTGGACACAACTGACGACATCGATTGCAATGAAAAAGGGTCGAAGTTACGTGTTTTCTTGACTGCATAGAGCCACAGTGACTGTAGTTTCTTTTAGTTCGTAAGCTCTTTCCACTTGCAAGATGAGTGCAAATTCGAGTATTGATTTTTATTTAAACGTTTGTACTTCAAATGAGTTTTGTGACTTCAAAGGGCGGATTCAAAATAACTTGGTCGATTTCGTAGAGCTGTAAAGCAAATTAGAATGACTCGTTTAAGGCTGATCTTGATTTTCGAAAAGTTAAAAGAGAGTTAATTGTTAATTGCCCTCTCTGTGAAACAATAAAGAAACTTTCTTTCAAAAATTGTTCAGTTGAAAAATGAAACTGTTCGCAAAATCCATTGTTACATCGTGGTGGGGAGATAGCTACCACGCTTTGCAGAAATATAAAGAGTCTATAAACTTGCTGTTTTAGTTCCTCTTTATTATCTGTGTCCTCTGAAAACACCAACAGCCATTGCTTTAATTTTTCTAACTTAAACAAACAGACGATCCCTTTCTCTCTATTTGACCACTCTGTCTTCTAACGTACACGCTTTTATGTACATTATCGGTGCGCATCAGCTGGCAAACTGATCTTGTAGGATTAGACTTCTTAACCGTAAACAAATCCAAACATGACGGTTTCACGAGGATCTCATGAATGAAGAACAGTACACTTGACACTTTCGATCAAATAATCAATCAGCGTCAGTAAGCCAATACAATACAAGGTCAGTAGACAAACCCAGTCATGCACATCATTGTTTGGAGGACAAAATTCTGAAAAAACAACCAAGGGACTGAAACTGCATATGCGGCCTTGCAGGACAGTGAAACCTGAGACTCACAAAAGAACTTCGAAATAATCGGATAAATAAACCACGAGGGGTAGGACCAGATGAACAGATAGTTCAAGGTAAACGTAAGACAATAATTAAACATGAGAAAAGTCTAGGCATCGAGATCTGAAATCAGCTGAATTAAAACCATAGAAAAAAAATCGGAATTCAGAAGTAATATTGATTTTAGCCCAAAAACAAGTTATTGACGTTTTGATGGTTTTTATTGTAAACCTCGCAGCGCCTGCGGGCAATATGAGGCGAACGCTGTGTTCTGTTCAGTTACCCGCGCGGGCAAGGTAGGCCCATCTTGCGCAAGAAAAAAAACTGCTTGAAGCGTTTTAAGTCCCTTACTTTTGTTGCAAAAAGCGGCCGAAGACAGTCAAAACAAAGACAACATAAACGGCCCACGTGTGTTTATCGGGTTACAAATACAGTTGGCTTTCTTTCCCGTCTCTTGAAATAAAAAGGTCATCGTTGATTCTTATTAAAGCGAAATCGTTTTATTTAAAAACAAAATATCTGATATTAACCAAGTTTGTTCAGTCGAGATGGCTGGATGTTAGCCTCGTTCTTAATATGCGTTTTTAGGACATCAACTTCGTCCCCGTCCATATAACAAGGCCGATATCCAGCCATCTTAACTCTAAGCTTGCCATTTATCATAAAACTGGCAGTGCCCGTGGGTAAGATGAAGCGAATCCTGTGTTCTGATTGGCCACCCCAGAAGGCAAGATGGGTCCATCTCAACGAAATACAAAAAAAAGGAAAGTTTTTAACATTTTCCTTTGCCTCCAAGATATTCCTACTTTAAATGATCACCAGCTAAGTGTAAAAGAGTACCATGAAAATGGTACAAGACTACAAATTCTCGTCATCAACAGTCCATTAGTAATTGCCCTAGAAATAAGCTGGTTGCAATTTTAAACCCTTTCTCAACATATACAATATATATATGAAGTTCATATATTTTGAACTGCGGTATTAGATACGTATGATGCACGATCCTCGCAGTAGAGAGTGCTATTTATGCAATAGCGAAAATCAGACATGAAAAAAATCAGGCCTGTACAGGATTCGAACCACTGACCTCTGCGATACTAGTGCAGCGCCTGATTTTTTTCAGTTCTGATTTTCAGGTCTGATATTCGCTATTGCATAAATAGCACTCTCTACTGCGAGGATCGTGCATCATACGTACCTTTCTCATCATGATACCACGTTCTATCCCATTCTAGCTTTCGGCTTATATTTTTTGTGCTATCAAATAGAGCCGACGTTGATGATAAAAAGCACAGCATGATTATGATGACGACACTGCGGAATTGCCTTTTTATGACGCTCCTAAAAAATCTTCCTCCATCTTTCTGACTTTTTCAGTCATTTCTCTCAGCACCTCGAAATTTCCATGCCCCACTATGCATTATAAGATAACGTTTTCAATAACCTCTTTTAATGGTAATAATAATAATTTAATATTTATATTGCGCAAATTAACATGTGGATATGATCAAATGCGCACACAACACTTTTCGGGGGACTTTGGCCGGACTGCATCAGCAGTTTATAAACAATCGAAGGAAACTTATTTAAAGATGCCCCCTCCCCCCCCCCAATTCCCAGTAAACAGGCCAGACCACATCAGAGTAATCTCGTGAGTGGGTTCTTTAACGTCCCCTGCCTAACCAAATTAACTAATTAGAAGATGCAGCTTCCTCCATCAGCAGGCTGTGCATCGTTTTCAAAGGCTCGTTACTTCCCGTGTTCTGCTGTCTCCTTGCAGGTACATCTACATTGTACAAGGCCAAGAAGACCAATTTCGTAAAGTGCACTAAATCACTCATTGTTGCAAAAGTGATTTATAAAAAATACAAGCGAATTCTCCTCACTCGATTAAAACTCAATGAGAAACCTAGAATAGATTAAACCTTTAAAGACGTTTAAATTGAGAACATCCCTGAGGCGACCAAAAACAAAGAAAGATACAAAATGCTTGAAAACACTCAGCTGAAGACTCTCTTAATTGAATCAATCAGCACAGTAGATTTCTTAAACTCAAATTCAGGAGCGGTTTCGACTACCAAACAGTGTCCAAAATCACTGCGGCAATTGTTTGAAAGAGAATCAATCTTTTCCGTACTTTTTCAATTGACCATATACGACCCCTACATTCAAAACTAATAAAGGTAAGAAGTTTGTGAAGATTGTGTATTCAGTTTGTTACTGCAAAACGAAAATATGCGAGAAGTAATGAGAGATCAAAGTGCTATTTTAGAAAAGTGATGTCAGATGTAAAGATTCGACAGAGTTGGTTAATCACTAGGATTTTTAGTGAGAATGAAATAGAGAAATCAACTCAAAACAGACGGGGATAAAACATGCCTGAACCATTTGTAAATACCAATAGGGAAAATTGCAGTTATGGCGTGATTTAAGGATTTAAAATTATCACAGCAAGGTCCTCTACAAGCCTAACATTGAGCTTCTGAATTGGGAGAGAAAGTTCTAGCACCGATCGTTATGTAGCTTGAGTCAGATCGTAACGTAGCCTGTTAGTCCAGTTGATAGAGCATTGCACCGGTATCGCAGAGTTCATGAATTCAAATCCAGTGCGGGTCTGAATTTTTCTTCTTCTTTTTTTTTTTTTTTTTAGGCCTTATTCTCACATCTACGTAAGTAATGTTCATTACTGTGAGGATCGCTTTCATACATTTCTTACAACCGCAGGACACGTATATGATTTTCATATATTCAAATTCATTAAAGCGTGGCCAGCAAAGACTTGGTGCCGATTAAAATCCACAATGTATTGAAATATGATATAAAGCGCATCTCAAACAGTAGATCAGAAAAAGTCACCCCAATACTTTTCGGGGTTCTAGAATACTACAAGAGGTTTTGAAAATTGGCCGAATCACTTAGGGATGCTTCACAACTTGTAATGTTTGCATGGTCTTGAAGGACACTCAGAACTGCAACTCACCTGCTCTCTGAGATTTGAGTTTTGTCAAATTATTCCTTCTTTCATTTTCGAGTCTTGCCACTCTTTTGGACTCATCATCCAACTTCCCCTTTACACTTCTCGCTTCGTAACAACAACAAGAAGTTTGCGTCACCAAATTGTCAGCACCATTGCCGTGCAACAGTTAATTATAACATTTCTATAGGACAATAAGAGCTTATATTTCAATCAAGGGTTTTCTTTGTTACCCATTTAGTTCTCTCTATTTTGGACTCAGCAGTTAATGAAAATTATATCGTACAGCTTTTTTTTTAAGTAAATACAAGTTTTATTAAAAACAAGACTCTCGTAGAGCTTGTGCATTCAGTTTGTAAGTGCAAAACGAAAGTTTGCGAGGCGCACTGATAGCATAAGGGATCAAAGAGCTAACTTAAAATTACGATTTAAGATTGAACCATAAAAAATAGCTGGTTACTCACTGGGGATATTAGTGAACCTGGAATAAAAAAAAGAAATCAACTCAAAGCCAACGGGGTTAAAAATATACCTGACCCGGTTTGTAAACCTCAAACTGAAAGGAAAAATCTGCATTAAGATTTAACGATTTGGAAATGATCATAACGAGGACCTCTACAAGCCCGATATTGAGCTTCTGAATAGGAAAGAAAATTCTAGCCTCGATCGTCATGTAGCTTGACTAATTACAAGGTGATCAGCAGTGATATAGTGCTAATCAAAAACTACAATATATTGAGATAAAGTGCATCTCAAATTGTGGTCAGTAAAGCTCTTCACTCTAATACTTCCGGTATT